CCCCACCACAGCCCAGGGCGGAGCAGAGCAGCCCAGACCCGCCACGGCCCGCCACGGGCTCCTCCCCACCACAGCCCAGGGCGGAGCAGAGCAGCCACGGCCCCGCCACGGGCTCCTCCTCACCACAGCCCAGGGCTGAGCAGAGCAGCCACGGCCCCGCCACGGGCTCCTCCTCACCACAGCCCAGGGCTGAGCAGAGCAGCCACGGCCCCCGCCATGGCCCCGCCACGGGCTCCTCCCCACCACAGCCCAGGGCGGAGCAGAGCAGCCACGGCCCCGCCACGGGCTCCTCCTCACCACAGCCCAGGGCTGAGCAGAGCAGCCACGGCCCCACCACGGCTCCTCCCACCACAGCCCAGGGCTGAGCAGAGCAGCCCAGCCCCTGCCATGGCCCCACCACGGCTCCTCCCACCACAGCCCAGGGCTGAGCAGAGCAGCCCAGCCCCTGCCATGGCCCCGCCACGGGCTCCTCCCACCACAGCCCAGGGCTGAGCAGAGCAGCCCAGCCCCTGCCATGGCCCCACCACGGCTCCTCCCACCACAGCCCAGGGCTGAGCAGAGCAGCCCAGCCCCTGCCATGGCCCCGCCACGGGCTCCTCCTCACCACAGCCCAGGGCTGAGCAGAGCAGCCACGGCCCCGCCACGGGCTCCTCCCCACCACAGCCCAGGGCTGAGCAGAGCAGCCACGGCCCCACCACGGCTCCTCCCACCACAGCCCAGGGCTGAGCAGAGCAGCCCAGCCCCTGCCATGGCCCCACCACGGCTCCTCCCACCACAGCCCAGGGCTGAGCAGAGCAGCCCAGCCCCTGCCATGGCCCCGCCACGGGCTCCTCCCACCACAGCCCAGGGCTGAGCAGAGCAGCCCAGCCCCTGCCATGGCCCCACCACGGCTCCTCCCACCACAGCCCAGGGCTGAGCAGAGCAGCCCAGCCCCTGCCATGGCCCCACCACGGCTCCTCCCACCACAGCCCAGGGCTGAGCAGAGCAGCCCAGCCCCTGCCATGGCCCCACCACGGCTCCTCCCACCACAGCCCAGGGCTGAGCAGAGCAGCCCAGCCCCTGCCATGGCCCCGCCACGGGCTCCTCCTCACCACAGCCCAGGGCTGAGCAGAGCAGCCACGGCCCCGCCACGGGCTCCTCCCCACCACAGCCCAGGGCTGAGCAGAGCAGCCCAGCACCCGCATGGGCTCCTCCCCACCACAGCCCAGGGCTGAGCAGAGCAGCCACGGCCCCGCCACGGGCTCCTCCCCACCACAGCCCAGGGCTGAGCAGAGCAGCCCAGCACCCGCATGGGCTCCTCCCCACCACAGCCCAGGGCTGAGCAGAGCAGCCCAGCACCCGCATGGGCTCCTCCCCACCACAGCCCAGGGCTGAGCAGAGCAGCCCAGCACCCGCATGGGCTCCTCCCCACCACAGCCCAGGGCTGAGCAGAGCAGCCGGCCCCCACCACGGCCCGCCACGGGCTCCTCCCCACCACAGCCCAGGGCTGAGCAGAGCAGCCGGCCCGCCACAGGTCCACAGGCACTAGCCCACTAGGTCTGGCTAGCGGGCAGCTTAAACCTGCTGCCCAAATCCAGGCTGCTCCGCAGCACCGTCCTCCCTCAGGGAGGCGCTCTGGGCAGAATGGCCATCGCCTCAAACCCAGGGGCAGAGCCCGGCCCACAGGAGCCAGAGTGGACCCCGGGGCACCGAGGGCAAGCAGGGCTTTGCTCAGGGCAAGCAGGCTGTCCTCAGGCACCCGTCCGCGGGCACCTGTCCGCCTCATGAACAACACACTCGCACCCCAACATCAGCCCCGACCAGACGCTTTGATCATGCTGCTGCCTCCATGTCGTTAGGAAGTCCCCCCAAGAACGTCCTCTCGAGGCAGAGAGGGCAAAGGAGCCCGAGTGGTCAGCTGCAGCACCCAGCACCGAGGTGCCACCGCCAGCCAGGAGTGCAGCAGCCTCACGGCAGGTCTGGAGGAGGGAGGGGGAGGGAAGGGAGAGGGAGGGGGAGGGAAAGCAGGAGGAAGAGGAGGAGGAGCAGCTCTCTAGGAAGAGGCCAGGCTGGAGCGAGTGCGGGCGAGCGCAGGGCAAGCCCGGCCCCGGGGCTGGGAACAGAAGCACCTGGGGCCTCACTCGGACTCCCACGCCCACTGGAGCTGTGCCCTGGGGGAGAAGCTGCCGTCCTTCACCCACCCCTCCAGGTGCCACCGAGACTCGGCCTGCCTCTCCTGGTCGAACAGCTCACGCCGTCTGGGCTCTGCTGACCGCCCGGGGAGGCCCGGATTACCAGGCCGTGTGCCCGGGAGGCAGGGCGGTGACGCCCATCGTGTGGCCGCAGGACAGCCCGGCGAGCTGGGAGCAGATGGCAAAGGGACAGAGGTGAGCTCCCACCTTTCCTCTCCCTTCCTCGGGGGAGGTGAGCCTGGTGCCCTGAGGCAGAAATAGTCCTGTGGAGCCATTTCCTGCTCCCACACCCCCAAACCGCCAGCTGTCCCTTGGCCGGCCCCTCATCTCCAGGTTCAGCAGCAGACAGACGACAGCGCAGTCTCACTTCTCAGGAAGCACAGCACTGGGTCTCCTTGCCGCGCCTGCTGCTCGCCCGGGCACGGGAGGGCACGGCAGGGAGGGCACGGCAGGGAGTGCACAGGAGGACACAGGAGGACACAGGAGGGCAGGGAGGACACAGGAGGGCAGGGAGGGCAGGGAGGACACAGGAGGGCAGGGAGGGCAGGGAGGACACAGGAGGGCAGGGAGGGCACAGGAGGGCAGGGAGGACACAGGAGGGCAGGGAGGACACAGGAGGGCACAGGAGGGCAGGGAGGGCACAGGAGGGCAGGGAGGGCAGGGAGGACACAGGAGGGCAAGGAGGACACAGGAGGGCAGGGAGGGCACAGGAGGGCAGGGAGGACACAGGAGGGCAGGGAGGACACAGGAGGGCAGGGAGGGCACAGGAGGGCAGGGAGGACACAGGAGGGCAGGGAGGACACAGGAGGGCAGGGAGGACACAGGAGGGCAGGGAGGGCAGGGAGGACACAGGAGGGCAGGGAGGACACAGGAGGGCAGGGAGGACACAGGAGGGCAGGGAGGGCAGGGAGGACACAGGAGGGCACAGGAGGGCAGGGAGGGCACGGGAGGGCAGGGAGGGCACGGGAGGGCAGGGAGGACACAGGAGGGCACAGGAGGGCAGGGAGGACACAGGAGGGCAGGGAGGACACAGGAGGGCAGGGAGGGCAGGGAGGACACAGGAGGGCAGGGAGGACACAGGAGGGCAGGGAGGACACAGGAGGGCAGGGAGGACACAGGAGGGCAGGGAGGGCAGGGAGGACACAGGAGGGCAGGGAGGACACAGGAGGGCACAGGAGGGCAGGGAGGACACAGGAGGGCAGGGAGGACACAGGAGGGCAGGGAGGGCAGGGAGGACACAGGAGGGCAGGGAGGACACAGGAGGGCAGGGAGGACACAGGAGGGCAGGGAGGGCAGGGAGGGCAGAGAGAGCACAGGAGGGCAGGGAGGACACAGGAGGACACAGGAGGGCAGGGAGGGCACAGGAGGGCAGGGAGGGCACAGGAGGGCAGGGAGGACACAGGAGGGCAGGGAGGGCACAGGAGGGCAGGGAGGGCACAGGAGGGCAGGGAGGGCACAGGAGGACAGGGAGGACACAGGAGGACAGGGAGGGCAGGGAGGGCACAGGAGGGCAGGGAGGACACAGGAGGACACAGGAGGGCACAGGAGGGCAGGGAGGACACAGGAGGGCAGGGAGGACACAGGAGGGCAGGGAGGACACAGGAGGGCAGGGAGGACACAGGAGGGCACAGGAGGGCAGGGAGGGCACAGGAGGGCAGGGAGGACACAGGAGGGCAGGGAGGACACAGGAGGGCACAGGAGGGCAGGGAGGACACAGGAGGGCAGGGAGGACACAGGAGGGCAGGGAGGGCAGGGAGGGCAGGGAGGGTACGGCAGACGCTCAGAGGCGGGTCAGCGGTCGAGAGCCTCCTCCGGAAAGCACAGGGCCTGGGGACCCTCGCGCTGCACTTGCCGGTGCGTCTGTGGCTGCTTCCTCTCTTTCCACGGGGACCAGGAGGCAGCAGCAGCCACACGATTTCAAACGCTGTCCCGGTCATAAGCCCCAACACTGGACTAATCACTGACTCCCAGGAGCTAACCAAGGGGCTCCCAGCAAGCTCCCAACAAGAGCGGCCTTCGCCCAGCCTAGTGGTCACATTTACACCACTGTGCTGGCCCCTGGGTGAACGGCGCACATGCCTCGGACAGGGACAGGGGTCCACTAAGCAGCCTCCAGGTCCAACGAGGCAGAAGGGCCCGTGCCCCCACCCTAAGCACGGCCAATAGCCCCCAGGTGTCCCAACTCCACGGCAGTGGGCCCCAGAGCCCTGCGCTAGACACCTCACACCTGGCTGCTGCCCCAAGACCACGAGCCCCCAGGGCCTCCCTCAGCCCTCAGAGACTGTCCCTCTCCCCACCCGGCCTGCCTCCTGCTCACAGGTGGAGAAGGGGCCCGTGAGAGCCCCAGTCAGCCACCTCCCTGCCGTGGGCTCAGGCCCCTCCCACCGCTGCCCTCCCTCCAGGGAGCCCGGGAGCTCCCGAGCAAGTGCGCCGGGCACTGCCCTCCGGCTCCGTGCCGCCTAGTCTCCAAGGAGAGTCTGCAGAGCCTGGGAGACCCCAAGCAATTCAGGGCTCGGGGTCCAGGGCTCCAATCAAGCGGGACCAAGGGATGCTTGAGGTCACGAGGCGACAGAGGGCATTCAGCCAGCCCTGGGGGGTCTGACAACCACATCTACCCATCGGAAGTCCCTTAGTCCCTTCTCAGCCGCGGAGCCAGGCCCAGCACCTTGACAAAGATCACGAGTCTTGTGGGGGTGCAAGCGGTCTCTGCATCTCCCCCCAGTGCCCAGGCAGCAAGGGGACCACAGAAACCGCCCGTGGGTTCCAGGGCAGGGCTGCCTCAGGGAATCCCAGCCTGGCCTGGGCCCTCTCTGTCCACTGCACGCTCACCTGGTGTCCATGCAGCGTGTAGAGCAGCCGGCCCTCCACGAGGTCCAGGATCTTCAGGGTAGAGTCACTGGAGGCCGTGACCAGGTAGCTCCCCGATGGGTGGAAGGAGAGACCGTTCACCGCGGCGCTGTGCACTGGGGAGGGGACACCAGTCAGGCACTGGCTGGGAGGCCCCGGGGCACTGTGGGAGTCGTGGGGTCTGCGGAGGCCAGGTGGACAGAGAACGGGGGACTCTGAGCTCTAGCTAAAGCCTCTGGCGAGGGCCAAGTCAAGCCCTCCGGGGGCCTGGGCAAGTCAATGGTGAGAATCAACACGGTGCCCAGAGTGGGACAGTGGACAGACGCCAGACTCGAGGCCCTGAGCTGGAGACCCAGATTCACAGCTTCCTGCTGCGTGCCGTGGGCAAGCCTCCAACCACCCGTCTGTGAAGTGGGGAGCGGCCCCATGGACCACTCGGGCTGTCACTGGATGTCGGACCTGCACGTGCCCAGAAACCCTAAGGCACGCTGCAGTTCTGGGATGGACTGCCTGCTGCGCAGATGTCCGAACACTGTGGGCTCCGGCGCATGGAGCCCAGCCTGCCCCGGGGACGGTACTCCCAGGCTCCAGCAGCCCCACCGACCTGCGAAATCAGAGCTGCTCCCACAGGGATCGGCCAGAGCCACCAACTCCTTGCCTGAGACAAATGGCACCAGCTGCCTGCTACAGCCCAAAGTGACTCCCACCACCCGACAAGGGCCGGGAAGTGCTCTCCGAGGAGCGTGACCGTGGGCACTGGCTGCATGCCGCCTATCACCAACCACCTCATGTGCCCAAAGCCCACTCAGGAGTGTCTGGTGTTCACCCAGTGTCACCAGGAGAGACAATGGCTGTTACAGGTCCTTAAGCCTCTCCCCTGGTCTCCCAGGGTCAGAGAAAGAGCATTGCCCAGGTGTCGCTACCAGAGCGGGGGAGCCCTTCTTGGGGAATCTGCCTCCAAACCGACCCCGTGCCTCTGGGGGTGGGGAGAGCCCCTCAGGGATCAGGTTCTGCCACGGAACTCTCTGGGGAGCTGCTTGACCAGAGAAAACCCAACCAGGTCCCCCCATCAGCAAAGAGGGTGTGTCCCCCCCCACTGCCAGGCTCTCCTGGAGCCCCAAAGGGGAGCTGAGGGTGGTGGGATGGGGTTGATGCCCCATGAACACCCAGGGAACACGGTTGTTCATGGGGTGCCCCGGCCCCCGAAGCCTGTGATCTGCACTGGGGTAGCTCAGAAACAAGATGCTGCAGGCTCACTGAGTGTCCCCTTCACAGAGGCAAGGACGGCAGCACAGACTGAATTCTCTCCACGAGGCCTCAGGTCCCCCAGGACTGGCCCTGATGCCATCTCAGTCCCCAGCCCTGCAGTCACTGACGCCTGCTCCCTCAGGAACCCCAGGGACCTCTCCTGGGCCCTCCACCCGGCAGCATCAGCTTCTGCCTGTGCGCAGACCCATCCCCGGTCTGACCGTGCCCCACTCCGCTGCTCGGCCTCACTCGGACATGGGCATGGACCGCCCGCCCCAGCGGCTCTCGGCACTGCTGTCCTCACGCACCGCTCACCCTTGGCTCCTCCGGTGACAGGCCGGTCCCAGCACTGCCAGCCAGCCTGCATCTTTGGAACCTGGGCCAGAGCAAGGCATTCAAGGCCCTACCCAATGGATGCCCACTGCTGCACCCCGCCAACACCGGCCAGGCTCCTGACCCATCAGAGGTGGCCTGGTCCCTCCAACCATGCCCACGGCACTGCATTATAACCCTCAGAAACCCCATAAATAAGGCACCATCACCATCCCCTTCACAGCCAGGGCACAGCCTGGCCCTAGGCTCTGCACCCTCCTCTGCCTGCCCAGGCCCTTCCTCCAGACCCGCCCAGCACTCCTCTGCGCCTGCCGACCACCTTCCCCCACCTTCCCCGATCTCCCTCTGGCCTGGAGCAGAAGAAAGGCCTCTAAGCCTAGAGGAGAGGAGGGAAGGGACAGGGGCGTCTCCAAATAGAGGGCAGACCCCCCACTGCAGCTTTCTTCTAGAAGCCTCTGAAACAGACATCATACTGACAAACCCCAGGGCTCCCAGCGGAGGAAAGAACTGGTCTTGTGGCTGGGCCCTGCCACCTGGTGGTGCTGTAGGGTAATGCAGGCCTTGACCAACGTGGCTGGCCTCCCAGGGACCTGACTCCAGCCTAAGAATCAGGATCATTGTCATTGTCACTAACACTGTACCTGGTTCCCATTTTGTGCCAGGCAACCTCTAAGTTCTTCACGTGAACCAACTCCATACTCTCCCAACATCCCCATCCCCATCACTGTCCCAGGAGGCCCAGAGGGGTCAAGGGACCCACCCGCATCACGCAGCTCCATGTGCTTTTCAAGACCACCCGTTCCCCCTTCTTAGGAGGCTTGTCACTTAGGTTAACCCAAAAAAGTGCTGTCCTCAAGCGTCTGAGAATCGGCTAGAAAGGACTTGTGGGGTGTTGTGGGAAGAGTCCTGAACCCCAGGCCCCATACCTTTGTCCAGACACGTCCCTCCCATTTTTAGGTGTGAATTTTGGAAGTGAGCCCACGAACTTAAACTTAGTCCCAACTCAACGACCATAGTTCCCCCAACCACTCAGCTCTGCCCCTGCCCCGCCTCAGCCCTGAGTCCACAGGCCGCCCGCCGGCCCGCTTCGCCTCCTGCCCAACTCCCAGCTCCTCCGGGCGTCCCCACAGCCCCTGCCTCACCCTGCCAGTCACTCTGCTCTCAGGCCAGTCCACTACCCCCACCCACCCACCCGGGCCTGACCCCAGCCCGTTTCTCCCCCCACCCACCCGGGCCTGACCCCAGCCCGCTTCTTCCCACCACCAACCACCCCAGCCTGACCCCAGCCCCCTTCTCCCCCCACCCACCCGGGCCTGACCCCAGCCCGCTTCTCCCCCCAACCCACCGAGCCTGACCCCAGCCCGCTTCTTCCCACCACCCACCCGGGCCTGACCCCAGCCCGCTTCTCCCCCCAACCCACCGAGCCTGACCCCAGCCCGCTTCTCCCCCCAACCCACCGAGCCTGACCCCAGCCCGCTTCTCCCCCCACCCACCCGGGCCTGACCCCAGCCCGCTTCTCCCCCCAACCCACCGAGCCTGACCCCAGCCCGCTTCTCCCCCCAACCCACCGAGCCTGACCCCAGCCCGCTTCTCCCCCCAACCCACCGAGCCTGACCCCAGCCCGCTTCTCCCCCCAACCCACCGAGCCTGACCCCAGCCCGCTTCTCCCCCCACCCACCCGAGCCTGACCCCAGCCCGCTTCTCCCCCCAACCCACCGAGCCTGACCCCAGCCCGCTTCTCCCCCCAACCCACCGAGCCTGACCCCAGCCCGCTTCTCCCCCCACCCACCCAGGCCTGACCCCAGCCCGCTTCTCCCCCCACCCACCCGGGCCTGACCCCAGCCCGCTTCTCCCCCCACCCACCGGGCCTGACCCCAGCCCCCTTCTCCCCCCACCCACCGGGCCTGACCCCAGCCCGCTTCTCCCCCCACCCACCCGGACCTGACCCCAGCCCGCTTCTCCCCCCACCCACCCGGGCCTGACCCCAGCCCGCTTCTCCCCAACACCCACCTGAGCCTGACCCCAGCCCGCTTCTCCCCCACCCACCTGGGCCTGACCCCAGCCCACAATGACCACTGCTGCCCAGCCTTCCAAGTGCTACAGTTAAATAAGGGAGACAGCCTGGGAGGCTCCTGAGCCTGGGTCCAAGCCCAATCGACCCTCCACACGCTCACAGCTCCACATCTGTGGAGGACCCCGTGGGACCAGAGGTAGCCAACGTTGACCTCTTTGGACAGATCTGCCCCTTTACAGGTCAGGATTGCCACTCTGGTTCTGGAGGGCAAAGCCTCCACTGCAGGGGGAGGCAAATGGCACAGGCAGCGCCTGGGAGGTGCCCTTGAAAGGAGCTCTGCCCAGAGACCCATCGCTGGCCCCTCACCTGGCCCGGCAGTGTGCCTGCGACTCTGCCACTCATAAGCGGGCACAAAGGCTTGGTGGGCGCCAGGTCGCACCGCACTCCATCTCCTGGCCAAAGCTCCAAGCAGGACAGCCATGCCACAGTCTACCTGCCCCTGGAGATCCCAACAGACCCGGGCCCCTCCCCACTGACCAGGGCTACCCTCGGGCCCTCCGCACGGCAGCCAGGAGCCCCGCCACACGCCACAGACCCAGCGCCGCTGCGCGCGGACACTCACGCTGGTAATGCTGCAGGAGCCGGCGAGTCCGCACGTCCCACAGCTTCACCGTGTTGTCCATGCCGGCGGCGGCGATGCACGTGCCGCTGGGGTGGAAGTCCACGCAGGTGACAAAGCTGGGGAGACAGGGCCAGCGTGTGCTCCAGGGTCTGCGCTGCGCAGAACAGCCCCACACCCAGCACCGTCATCCTGCACCTACTCACGCTCTCAGAATGACCCCTCCCACCCTATCTCTGTAGCCAGTGGCCCGGGAAGAGCTGGGAGGAGCGGGTGACAACAGTGACTTGAGCTGACTCACCAGGGAGCAAGGCCCAGCACCAATTTCTAAATGTAAGTAGAGAAAGCGGTCTTCAGACCAAGGTCAGCAAGCCGGCTGCTCGGGGCTCTCAGTCAGACACGGTGCCCTTACCAGGGCTGGAGGCAGGCCGGCCTGCCCGCTGAGGCCCAGACACAAAGGGCCAGCGAGGCCCGAGGCCCTCAATCTACCCACGCAGGACACCCAGGCCGGAATCGTGGCCAGCTCCCAGGAGTCCTCACTGAGCGGGCAGAAGCCAGGGTTCGTTTAGAAACCCAAACAGGGGAGTCCCTGCTCAGCTGCAGGTCCTCCCTCTCCCGATGACACCACGTGTGGATGGCCACCATCTGGTTATGGCTGCAATGACCTCTCACTTATAAGGCCACCACAGGTAACACACCAACGTGCTTTTTAGGGGGTCTGCTTTCAGAGAGACATGTCACAATTCTGAGCACCAGAGAGTGAAAAGAGAGGCCCCAAGAATTATGTGCTCCCCTTACTGGAGGGGATGGGGGTGAGGCTGCACCTTCCAGCCACCAGCAAAAGATGTGGAGGCCGGGAGCAGAGGCGTGGCCGGCCCCCACCGCCTCCCTGGGCCGCCTGCCGCGCAGGGCTGCTGTCCGTAGGCACCTCCGGTGGAGGGGCCGGGGGCTCACCCGCCGTGCTCGCAGTACGAGTGCACACACTCCCGGCTGGTCTTGTCCCACAGCTTGACAGTCTTGTCATCACTGGCAGACACGATGAGCCGCCCGTCGGGGGAGAACCTGAATCAGGCAGGGCAAGTCACACCACAGACTGACAGATGTCACACAGGCGCCACACTGCCTCCCACAGCCTCCCTCCTGCACTGCCCACGAGCTGACCCCAGGAACCAGCAGGACTGCACGCCCTGCCCTGACCCGGGTAACCCTGGGCAAGTGGCTTCCCCTCTGTGAGATGGGCAGGCACAGGAGGGCACCGCACACGGCAGGTGGCAATATCCGTGCTGACTGCTGGTGCTGTTGGCGTTAAGGTGGCCGAAAGCTCCCCCGGCATCATGGCCCGGTTCCAGGTCCCGAGTCCACACACGACTCTGAGCGGGTCAGCAGCGCACAGGCTGCCAGCAGCCAGGTGGGGGCCCTGAGGCCACCACCACAGGCCAGTGCGGGCTTGACACTGTCTGCTGGCCCTGCCCTCTCCTGTTCTCAGGAGCCTGGGGGAGGCCTCCCAGCACAAAGATCAGGGGCCTGGAGAACAAATAACTTGCACGGGGATCCCCAGAACAACACAACCACAGTCCCCAGTGACCTCTCATTCCCATGGTTTCCTGTGTCCCCAGATACCCCCAAGGTCCTCTACTGGAGCAGAGATATGACAAAGGAGATCTCTGTTCAAAGGACTGAAAAAGCTGGAAACAGACACTTCTGTGTCTGTAACTCTTGGACCTTGAAAGGTCCTTTGAGTCACCCCATCCCCACAGCACTGCCCCCTACACCAAAGGGAGGGTCAGCACCCAGACCAGGTCCCCCCAGACACCTGGCCCCATCTGGCAGCCCTGGAGCAAAATCAACCCGAGGAGCAGACAGCCCAAAGGAGCGCTAGCAAGCTTGGTGCCAGAGGTCGGGTCCAGCCCCAGCTCTGCCAGTTCCCCACCGTGTGCCCTGGTCAGACGCCGCCCTGTTCCGAGCCTCGGTCTCCCCATCCCAAAGCGGGAGTGGCACCCCGCCGCAGGACGCCGCAGGGACCAGAAGGGACGGCGCGGCCGTGCTGCCGTCATCTCACTGTTGCTGCTGCTGCCAGCAAGGGCCCCGGTGTCTCGCCTGGGGCTGCGTCGGCACAGATGTCGGTCACCGTTAACTAGCGACGGGACCACTTACTTGTCGTGCATCAGCTCAGTGAAGCTGCTCAACAACTTCCAATGGAAGAGCTATTATTATTCCCGTTTCCCAGATGAGGAAGCTGAGGTTCGGGAAGATTAAAGCACGGCTACCTTGACCGAGGTCATGGTGCTGGCACCCGGCAGTCCCTCCGTGGCCCCCCACCTGGTCCCTCTGAGGGTCTTGGGAAGGACGCTCACTTGGCACAGCGGACCCAGTTAATGTGCTGGCTCAGGGAGAACAGGAATTTCTGGCGATGGGTCGACCACACCTTGACTGTCTTGTCATCGGAGGCTGTCACGAGGGACTGGCCATCGCTGCAGAAATGGACGCTCCTCACTGTGGCCGTGTGGGCACGAAACACGGTTGATTCACCTTTGCTGTAGGCAGGCACCCAGAATCAGCGGCGTGAGGGCCTGCAAGCACACCGGAGCTCCCCCGCCCCGGAGAGCCCTCCCCGAGTCCATCCAGCCGAAGCGTCCGGTGTCCCCGACAGGAGCAGAGCCCCAGGTCACCCATGCGCAGGCAGCCGCAGGCAAGTCCCATCTACAAAGCTGGGGTCAGCCCAGGATTCCTCTCCCAACCCTGATGGGAGGGCCCCAACTGAAGCCTCAGTCTCTAATGTCACCTTCTCAGGAGTGGGGGAGATGTCCCACTGTGACCAGTCCAGTGCCAGGACGGGGACCTGGATGGGGACGGTGCTGACACCAGGGCCGACTCAGACAAGCACCTCCAAGTCCGTAACTCACACATTGGGTACCCAGAGGCGAACAGTCTTGTCGCGGGAGCCGGAGGCCAGCAGGTGTCCGGAAGGGGAGAAGTTCACAGCGGTGACGGCATCCTTGTGGCCCGAGAAGCGGTAGGCACGTGCCTGGGGCTTCATGTGCCAGACCATGAGGCATGAGTCCATGGAGCCGCTGGCTAAGGAGAGCAGCAACACTGTGACCCTCGGCTCCAGTGGGCCTCGAGTCTCCCCCAGGACTCTGGGGTGACAGGGTCAGGAGCAGCAGCCCCCCTTTCCCTACAGGGACAGACCATACTCCCAGTGAATGCTGACCAGGAGTTTGGAGCAGGCCCACATCAGAACCAGACTAAGAAATGCCCTTCATGTGCCAGCCCTGGGCTGTAACTTAGGGGGCCTCTGGGAAAACTCAACCCCCAGTGGGTCCCAGGTCTCCCAGACACACCCTGAGGGCACTAGAGAGCAAGTCCTCCCAACACAAGGGCGCAGCTCACCCAACAAGCCTTTTACCACTCAGAAGCCTAGATGAGGTCCCCTCTGCCAAGAGACTTTGACCCTAAGATGAAGGGGGACTCCCACCCAAAGAAACAAAGAAGCCACAGCCAGACAGCTGTGTATGAACCCTCAAGTGGCCAAGCTGGGGGTACAGCTGCAGCACAAGGGCAGTGGGGGAGGGGAGTCCTGGGCCCTGCCCCACATCCTCCTCTCTGGCAGGCATCTCCAACTACACGTGCCCATATCACTGAGGACAACAGACCCAATGGAGACCCAAGAGGTGGCTGAGGTGTTCAGGGAAAACCCCAGAATCCAGTCCCACCCTCAAAATCTGTGCTGACTTTGTAAGGCCCCCAACCTTTCTGAGCCTCACACCCTGCATGCAAAATGGAGCCCACGAAGCCCCGCACCCCGACAGCTGGCCACCAGAAGCAAGATTCAGGTCTAGGCAGAGCACACGGGTCCTCACACTGCCCTGCTGCCCCCGTGCCTACCTCCCAAGTGGAAAGCCGACTCTCCAGCCAACATCCTAGTGCCTAGGACAAGACGCCCCCTCTTACCCAGCTGCTTCATGTTGAGGTTGAAGTCTACACAGGTAACTGCATCTCGGTGGCCCTTAAAATGTCTCTCCAGCGAGGGGTCCTCCTGGGGGGACCAGGTCAAACGTGTGCATGAGGAAGAGGCTTTCCCAGGGCCAAGACCCTTCCTACGACAGCGGGGAGTTACAACTGCTCACAGCATGACCTTGTGTAAAGGAAACCCTAAGGCACCCACCACAAGACTATCAAGACTAAGAAACAAATTCAGCAAAACTGTAGGATACAAAGTCAATATACAAAAATCAATTGTATTTTTGTATACCAGCAATGAACAATCTGAAAAAAGTCAGGCAACAATTCCATTTATAATATATATATTTTTTTAACATAAAATATGGCCCTAGCCAGTTTGGCTCAGTGGTAGAGTCTCAGCCCTCAGACCAATGAGTCACGGGTTCGATTCCAGCCAAGGGCACGTATCTCGGTTGTGGTTTGTCCCTGGCCCTGGTCGGGGTCGTGCGAGAGGCAACCAGTCGATGTGTCCCTCTCGTGTCAATGTTTCTTTCTCTCTCCCTTTCTCTCCCTCCCACTCTATCTTTTTTTTTTTTTTTTTTTTACAGATAGAGTGGGAGGAAGGGAGAGGGAGAGAGAGAGAGAGAGAGAGAGAGAGAGAGAGAGAGAAACATCAACGTGAAAGGGACACATTGAGTGGCTGCCACCCGCACGACCAACCAGGGCTGGGGACAAACTGCAACCGAAGCACGTGCCCCTAGCGGGAACTGAACCCGGGTCTCTCCGGACCACAGGCCAACGCTCTAACCGCTGAACCAAACTGGCCAGGGCTATCTTAAGATAAACAGAAAAATATCCTTGGGTGAGGATTAAAAAGAAAAAATGTAAAACACGAATAATTTAACAAAATAAGTACAAGATGTAACCAATGAAAACTACAAAACATCATCGAAAGAAATTTAGAACGAACTAGATAAATGAAGACATCCCATGTTCTTTGGAAAAACTGATCATTTCAAGATACAACACTCCCTAAATTGTTCTACAGATTCAACATAATCCCTATGAAAATCCTAGATGCATTTCTTTAAACAGAAATTGATAAGCTGATCCTAAAATTTATCAAAAAATGTGAGACAGCCAGAATAGAAAAAGAAACTGGAAGGAAGGGGAGTAACTCCTTAACGGGCATGGGGGTTCCTCTGAGTTGACAAAAATGTTCAATGGTGCCCTGGCCGGTTTGGCTCAGCGGTTGGAGCATCGGCCTGCAGTCCAGAGAGACCCGGGTTCGGTTCCCGCTAAGGTCACATACTTCGGTTGCAGTTGTCCCCGGCCCTGGTTGGTCGTGCAGGTGGCAGCCACTCGATGTGTCCCTTCACATCGATGTTTCTCTCTCTCTCTCCCTCCCACTCTATCTGTACAAAAAATGGAAAAATATCCTCGGGTGAGGATAAAAAAAAAAAAAGTTCAATGGTGGTTGCACAATTAACACTGTGAAGTTACTAAGAACCACTAAATTTTACACTTGAAAAGGGTGAATTTCATGGTATGTGAGTAATGTTTCAATAAAGTTACTCTTTTAAGACCTAAAGAAAGAAAATGGGGGTGTTTCGGCAGCCCCCATCTCAGGAACCACATCCCCTATGCTCAATCCCACTGGGAATGGCTGGTGAACCTAAAGGTCAGCCTGGAGAGGCCCCTGGTCTCCTCTCCACTCCACCAAGCATCAGAGGCTAGGTCAGGACCCAGCTTAGGAAGACGTGGAGACTCTCTCCATCCAGCAGCAGCTCCTGTCTTAGCACCCGAGTTCCATCCCAGCGCCCGAACATCTCCCCTGCCCCAAATATCAGAAACCTCAAGTAGCGCTTTGGGTGCAGCAGGGAGCCCAGCAAGGTGACTGCCATCCTACAGAGCTGTAACCAGATGGAAGGTCCCCAAGGCCCAGTGCCCGGCTCCACCTCCAACACACCTGCCAGAGTCCCCCGTTCAACAAGAGAGGGAGTGGCGGCTGGGGAGGGCCCCCAACAGAGCAGCAACCGCCCTACCTGAGTCTCTTGGAAAAACAAGAGCAAGACAGTGCCCACCTTTAGGCTAGTGGGCAGGGGCAACCTCAGGTCCAACCCTGACCGGGGACTCCCTAAAATCTCCCACCACCCTCTCCCCCAATCCCATGGGCTCTGCGGTTCATCTCCCCCCTAAAGTGGTTTATATCTTGGGGTGGAGGTGGAGGTGTCTCTGGGAAGAACACTGGATTGGGGTAAAACTGCCTGGATCCTGGTTTGGGCTCTCTGCTCAAGTCCCCAGGTGCCTGCCTAACGAGACCCCCCGCTTCCCGGCCTCGCCCCCAGCCAGAAGGCCAGGCAAGTTCGAAACAACCCCTCAAGAAAAGGGAACCCGGAGCCCCACCGCTCCTCGCGGCCAACGCCCCGGCCAGGTACCCACTGTCCCTGCGGGGAAACTAAGGCCCGGGCGGCCGCCGCCTGCGGGAACTCACCGGACAGGGCGCGGCCATCGCAGGGCCGGGGCGGCCAGAGCACCGGAGGAGTAAGTGGCGGCAGCGGCTGCCGTTGCGGCGCGTTCAGTTTCCGCGCCCCCACTCGCCGCCAATAGCAACGCCGGTCGCGCCCCAAGCCCCGCCCACCGCGATTACAGGCGACGCGGTGCCTCGACTATTTGCTCCCCGACCGGAAGCAGAGCAGTGGGGCGGGCTCCGTGGTCCCCACTCCGACTTCTGCCAGGCCAGGCAGCCTTCAGCCGGCGCCGCCCAACGACTCTGTCCGCCTTCGCTCATCCTCCCCGAGAACTCAAAGAGCGCTGGATGAGGGGTTCGCCCCACACGCCCGTAGCCGGCTGCCGAGAGGGCGAGCACAGCCTTCTGGGAAATGCAGTTCCAAGACAGCCGCCACCTTGGGTCGGGAGGAAGCTGGAACTACATTTCCCAAGATGCCACGAGAGCGGGATTGAGAACCCAGGATTAACCACCGGTGGGGAAAGTATTAAGAATCCCGGAAGCGCCCTGCGGTGTTGCTCCGTGGACTGAGAGCCCCGCCGTGGATTGAGAGGTCGCTGTTGGAGTTGGGTCCGGGCACCTGCGCGGTTGCGGGCTGGATCCCCAGTAGGGGGCGTGCAGGAGGCAGCCAACTGATGTTTCTCACCTCGACGTTTCTTTCTTTCTTTTTCTCTCTCTAAAATCAATAAAGAAAAAAAAATTTTTTAAATCAATAAAAACATTAAAGAAGAAGAAGAAAAAGAAGAATTCCAGAAGTGAGTTCTTGTATGGGTGTCATGTTAGAGCGCTCAGGGCTGGTTTTCATTCAGTACCTTAATAAGGGCCAATTCCTTGTGTGCTGACACGTTTATAGCCCCATAACTGATTATTGGTAAAAATCACTGTGTGCCCTCTAGCTGAATTTGTTTTGTAAGGAATTTAATTAACAGGATAGAGATCAAAATAACCTCAGTAAATTGGAATACCCCCTGCACCAAAATATGTCCAAGAAATGTCCGGTTCCCAGGTTAGCCAACTGCCTAACTGCATGTTTTCGCATCTGTACGTGCTTGCTTGCTATGCTCCAGTGCACACCGGAATGTGGTTTTAAGCTTTAAAAGGTGTGCGTGTAAGGAGGTCGAGGCTGATCTCCGAAGACTCTGTCGCAGGGGTGTTCGGAATCAGACGCCGGCCGGCTAATAAACGGCTCTTATCTGGACTTCAGTTCTCTAGTGGTCTTTCTTTGACTCTGTCGGGCCACCACAGTTGTTCCTGGGAGATTCTTGAAGTGGTTCGCTCCTCCAAACGCGGTTATAACAAATGCCCATTAAAAGAAAAACAACACTAGTCACTCGGAATCACATCCGTGGAGAGAAGAATCCTAAGTTCCACTCTCGGTTCTCCCCGTGCTTCATGTATGACCGAGGGAGAAAAACACCTCTGCTCTGTGGGCCTCAGTTTCCCCATTTGTAATATGAGGGAGTGTGGTGGAATCCCCTCTGGAGCCCTGCGAAACCCTTGTAAATGAATTGCAGGCTTAAAGGGAAGGAGACAGTCCAGGGGCCTGGCCACCAGAGGGCCTTGCTGCCCACTTTCCGCTGTGGGAAGGCCCAGGCTCTAGACTACCTGGAACTGACCTGGGCCGGATGTTTTGCAAGATTCAGGAAACTTCTGTAGACAAAGAATGTCCAATCTATAGAAAAAATTTGGAGTTTATTTGAGCGAAAATTTTGAGGACATGCCTGGAAGCAAAATCTCAACGGATTGAGAAAATGCTCAGAGGATGGCAGTGCTGCCGCATATTTTATACATTAGAATCAAAGGAAAAGTAAGCAAAAGTATATGAAATCCATTGGTAGTAGATTAAAGAAGCAGGGGAAAGCAAAGTGGGGCTATCTCTGGGATTAGATAAAAAGCAAAATGGCCCTGGCCGGTTTGGCTCAGCGGTTAGAGCGTCGGCCTGCGGTCCGGAGAGACCCGGGTTTGGTTCCCGCTAAGGGTATGTACCTCGGTTGCAGTTTGTCCCCGGCCCTGGTTGGTTGTGTGGGTGGCAGCCACTCGATGTGTCCCTTTCATATCGATGTTTCTCTCTCTCTCTCTCCCTCCCACTCTGTCTGTACAAAAAATGGAAAAATGTCCTCGAATGAGGATTAAAAAAAAAAGCAAAATGGAGCCCTAGCTGGTTTGGCTCAGCGGTTAGAGTGTCAGCCTGAGGACCAATGAGTCTCAGGTTCAATTCCAGTCAAGAGCACAAACCTCGGTTGCAGTTGGTCCCCAGCCCTGGTTGGGGTTGTGCGGGAGGCAACCAGTTGATGTGTCTGTCTCACATCAATGTTTCTCTCTCCCTCCCTCCCACTCTATCTGAAGATAAATAGAAAAAGATAAATAGAAAAATATCCTCGGGTGAGATTAAAAAAATAATAATAAGTGGAACAACAAATCAATGTTTCTCTCTCTACTCTAAAATCAATAAAGAAAAAAAATTTTAAATCCTTACCCAAGGATATTTTTTTATTTATCTTCAGATAGAGTGGGAGGGAGGGAGAGAGGGAGAGAGAGAGAAATTGATGTGAAAGGGACACATTGACTGGTTTCCTTTCACACAACCCCGACCAGGACTGGGACGAATCACAACCGAGTTACTTGCCCTTGACCGGAATCGAACCCTTGACTCACTGTTCTGCAGGCCGACGCTCTAACCGCTGAGCCAAACCAGTCAGGGCAATAAAGAATTTTTTTTAAAAAGGAAAGAAAATTACTCTAACATATCAAAGATATATTATCTTAGAAGCACAAGAACAATGGACAGGCTCACTTAAGGTCAAGATTGACTTCGCTCAGGAAGCTATGGGCCGGGGTGTGATTACCCACCATGGCCTGCCCAGCTGGGAATTTATGATCAGACTATCCAGTGTGTTTACTTTCAGTCACTGAACTTGCCAGGCCTCCATGTTGCCTCCCAATAGCTTGTCAGGTTTATGACATAGCCCATTCACACTTTCATCCCTTCCCTGGGCAGGCTGACTTGGCCAGACTCCAACACTGATTAGGATCTAGCTGGGCCCTGACGTTTCTGACGACATCTGAGGCCTAAGATGATGTTTACCGCACCTGCGTACCAGAGCCCGACTCAACAAGCTCAGAAACGGGCAGGTGCACAGAGCTGGACTGTGGGGGAATGGGTCTCTCATTCGGACCTGGACGGTCTAGGGCCAGACTCAAGGAACATTTAACTCACTCTTCACTGTGATGAAGCATAGAATTTGTTCCTTTGTGTTAGAAATGTTAACGCTGATTTCACTTAGATACTATGAAGTTCTCTTCCAAACAAGTATAGTATCACTCACTCCCTGAAATTCTTCAACACTGTTCAAGGGATGGTTGTTTTTGTTTGTTTGGTTGGTTTTTTTGCATTTATCTTCAGATAGAGCGGGAGGGAGAGAAGAGGGAAGAGAGAGAGAGAGAGAAACATCGACGTGAGAGAGACACATCAACTGGTTGCCACCCATACGACCCCAACCAGGGCCGGGGACAAACTGCAACTCAGGTACATGCCCTTAGTGGGAACCGAACCTGTGACTCTGGTCCGCAGGCCCACGCTCTAACCGCTGAGCCAAACTGGTCAGGGCTCAAGGGGTGGTTTTCAAGCATGGAACACCCCTAGTTTACAGGAGCTTGTAATCCACAGACCCGAATTTAGAGAAACCCTTCTATAAAATGATTTTCAAATGTCAGGTTTGCTCAAATGAGAGGCACTGGAAGATTTTACTCATCCTCCCTAGTCTTTCCAGATCCTACTATCTTCTTTTTTTAAAATGTTTTATTAATTTTTTTGGTACGTGCCCCTAGCAGGAACCGAATCCGGGACTCTCTGGTCCATAGACCGACACTCCAACCGCTGAACCAAACCTACCAGGGCTTATTATTTTTTGTTACAGATGTTTCTCCTTTTTCCCCCCTAGACACCCTCCTCCCTATCCCCCCTCCCCAAGCATTGTTGTTTATGTCCATTGGTTACTCATACATGCATATAAGTTCTTCGGTTTATCTCATCCCTCCCCCCACCCCCCCTCCTCTGAGGTTTGTCAGTCTGAATCATACACTTTTCTAAAAGGTCCGAGCCGGCGGGAGATCACATCCACAACACAAGGCCAGTGTAGAGCAAAATGGGTTTATTGCATACACCTGGGTGCCGGCGGGCTGAGCCGAGAAGGGTTCAGCCTCGAATTAGAATTGGGGTGTCGGTTATATACCCTCCTTTTAGCTTCCGGCAGTTCTGCTAATGTACTTTATCCGGCCCATTGTCCACCTTGCAGTAGGGCTGGGCTGGTATCTGGACCGGCATCTGCCAGGTGATCCATTGCCTCCGGGACAATCCAGATAAATCTTATCGTACTCAACAAAAGGCTGAGCAAAGGTCGTGAAAGCAACACAATGTCCATAGTTTCCGCCTTTTGCGAACTTTTACCCTTACCCTTTAAAACATGACTAACCCTTTCACTTTCTATGTCTCTGGGTCTATTTTGTTCATCAGCCTTTTCTGTTCATTATGTGCCACAAATAAGTGAGACCATGTCGTATTTGTCTTTCCAGATCCTACTGTCTTCTATTCTCAATCATCAGGGAGGAGGAGCAGGGGCTGCCCCGCCCTCCCTTTTTTATTTATTCTCCAAAAGTTGCAGAGGTTGACCCTGCCAACACCACACAGACAACCACTGGCACAACCTGCATAAGCCAAGACGGTGCCTTCACTTCCTGCCGGAGCAGCCCCCACCCCACGGCCCCTCCATTAGCTCGGACTCCCTGGGTGACTAGGGCTTCCGTGTCGGGGGTGCTTAATGTTGGAGGAAACTCAGTGTTGAAGGGGGTCTGGAAGACAGCTTCTTTTTCAAGCTCTCTTGTGGCAGGGATGTCTCCATCCTGGTACAAAACCCACAGACAGCCCGGCCGGTGTGGCTCAGTGGTTGAGCGTCGACCAAGAGGTTGCTGGTTCAATTCCTGGTCAGGACACATGCACCAGGTTGTGGGCCCGATCCCCAGTGG